TACCTCCCATTTCATTTTTGTTCCTCACAAGTCAGAATAATTAACTTTTGATCTGTGCAGGTAAAGTAAGACCACCAGTATAAATAATGCACTTAGTTGACAATGAGTAAATTTCTCATTCATTTCTTCTATATTTTTAATTTTGAGTGTGGGGGATCATGTGGCATGATCTTGGGAAAATATACTGATTGCTATTCTTTAAGAAAAAAGGTAAAATTTGCATAAGTTTCCTCTAATTTAAAAGTAATATATGCATCATGAAAAAAATCTGAAAAGTATTGTAAGTCAAAGGAGGGGCAAGAAATCTCATAATCTGAACACCAGTGGTGGTTTTAGAAATTCTGTAAAGAGATTTGGCAGTAGCAATCTGAAGGTAAAAAGGAAGATTACAATATTTATTTTGAGATTGCCCTTAATATTTAATAGAAGGTTTAGAGTGCTTATAGAGATTAAGAGGAAATAAACAAAATGTATTGAAAATAACATAACTAGAATACTCTTTTAAAGCTAGCATGGTGAGATTTTTGTCTCATAAACTTCGGGCATTTTATCAGGAGGGACCAGTCCCTGAAAAAAAACATCATTCTTGGCTAAGAACCCTCTACTACCTTTACTATGCGTTGGAGCCGACTTGTTGGCATCTCACAGTAACAACAACAAATGATTTAAAACCATATCTTATTGTGTCTATTACTATTTCCAGGAGAAATGAACACTAGAAGTCACAAGAGTGTGGTCATCTAACATTTGTCACTGTCCACATCTTCTTGTACAGAACAGATCTAAAATGTGTCTGATTTTCCATAGACTGGAGACAGAAATCTGAGCCTACCTTTATAGACAAGGTTTATGGAGGATTAGATTAAGCACACAATAGTTCTACTTTTTAAATCCCTACAGTTAATCCCAGAGATTCTTTACTTATATAACTTAATGTTGTAACTAATCCTGGGCATAGTTGAAGGGCTTTATTTGTCCACTTCCTTACACTGCTGATCTGTAGGGAAACATCCACCTTTCTACGGCTTAGCTACTTGGAGTCATTCTTTAAGACAGTCCTATTATTTACTTTGAATCAAAAAACATCTTAGCTCTTTCTATTGAGAGTTCTAATTCTCTGAACCTGGTTCTTGCGCTGGCATTTACATTGTCCATCACCTAGGTGTGCTGTATGGAGCCCTGTGTATTGGAATGGCTGCTTTGGCGTCACTGATGGGAGCGTTGTTACAGGTAAGAGCTGAAAGTTTGAGTCACAATCAATATATTTTTTTTTTCATGTTTGAGACTTACCATAAAAGTGCAAACTAGAGATAATTATGCATCAGTTGCTTTAAACAAAGGAAACAGCAATAAGGCAGCTCGGTTATATTTTAATAGTGCCTGCATGGAATCAATATTTTCGTCATGTTGATGTGACCATTCTTTCTAGACTTCGCACCCACTCTCTCTGAGTGTGTTCTAAAATACAGTTACTCTCCATTGGGTTTCTGAGGCTGTAAACCTTTATGAGAGGAGACTGATTTTCTCCTGCAGAGCACATGGTACGTTCCTTTGCTGATCTTTTGATTAACAACCTCATTCATTACTCACTTTACCACCAGAGCGTCTCCTCTCTATAGGTATATAAAGACACACATAAGTGTATCACAGGGCAGTAATGATTAAACTCTTCTCCTTTTTTTACAATTTTTCGTTGATTTATATATAATCATTCATACATGTTGGTGTTTTGTACATGTCCTTTTTTTGTGCTTTATATAATCATTCATACATGTTGTGTTTCATTCATGGACCTTGTGTTTTATTTGATGATTATAATTCATATGCATTATATTTTATATGACTATTTGCCATGATAATTGCAGATTCACATACACCTATAAAAATCATATAGAGATCTCATATACCTTTTGCAATTTCCTTTAATGGTAACATCTTGAGAAACTGTAGTACAATATCATAGCCAGGATATTGAAGTTTATAAACTCAATAGTCATTATGTCTACATCAACACAAAGATTTCTCATATTGCCTTTTAATTACCATATCCACTTCCCTCCTGCAGCACCTTTCATTGACTCCTGGCAGTCACGACCCTAATTCTTTCCAAACCCAATGCGGTAGAACCAGTTCCAACTCATGGGGACCCTGTATGACAGAATAGATTTCAAGGTTGTGAATATTTACTGGAGCAGATGCTAAAATACTCACCTTGAGGCATTTTAACCACTAGGTTTATTTCATTTTTATTTTTTTTATCTGTGCATCTTTTATTTCCTTTTATTGTCTTATTGCACTAGCTAAAAGTTCCAGTATTACACCAAATAAGAAAATGTTCCTTTTTTACCATATATTTAATGATCCTTACATTTTTGGGCATTTTTGGCATGTGAGATTGCTAATATCTGACTTGTTATTATCTTTGTAGGCAGCACTCAGTATATTTGGCATGGTTGGTGGGCCTCTTCTGGGCTTGTTTTCTTTGGGAATTTTGGTTCCCTTTGCCAACTCAATTGTAAGTATACAGAATGAATATGTACTTACTTTCTCAACTATAGTAGCAGCTGTATATGTTCATTTTCTCAATTGTATAAAGTTAAGATCCCTTTGACATCTCTCACTAGTGATTTTTCTTGGTGACCCAAATTACTCACTGACTTTGTTGGTACGTACTGTGTAGTACTGAGCACTGGAACCCTGTGTGTGTGTGTGTGTGTGTGTGAAGGTAAATGGAAATTGATAAGCAGTATAAAACCTTAACCTTAATCAACTAAAGGAGAAAACTTTTTGAATATATTTACCATTTTCCTATGAGTGATGGGAAGGGTATTCTGCAAGAAATGGAAAATTAGACATTCTATGTATCACAATTAACAATCTGGACCAAGATACACATTACAAAGTTAATTGGGGGGGGGAGAGTTGGGAAAATGTGTGAATGAATGAATGAATGAATGGGTGCAAAACCAATCTCTTTGTGAACTTCCACTAGAAAAATTTTAGCTGGAAATAACTATGATTTAAAGGAGACTGACAGGCTCAGAGATGAGAGATTAAAATAATGGAACTGAACTTTCATATTGTCAGGGTAGAGCAAAAACAAGCGATATGATTTGACCGGGAAGTATCTATTCCTGATATTTAATACTACATATTCTGTAACATGGTCCTAACCAAAAGGAGCTATAATAATTGGGAATGATATCTAGAAAAAGCAAATAGCATCTCCTTAGACATACCTGCAATTTGCAAAATGACAAAACTTTTTAAAATAAGTGAAACAGATGTGTTTCCCTGCAAGCTAACACAAAGCACTCTTGTTCAGTCCTATTATGACATGCAGTTTAGAAAAAATTTATAATGTGTGTGTCATTGTTTTGAACAGACATAGAACATCGTACTGCATTAGAGCCGGCATGGTAGGTTTGGTGATAATAGCTATATTGTTCATCATATTAATACTCTAAGTAAAATGTCATGAAAAGTTAGCTTGATAGAAATCAGTCACAATGAATGCAATAGTTTCTGCTCATATTCTGCACAGTGTTTGTTGAATGTTTGGTAAAAAAAATATCAAGGGGTTGCTTTTCTGAAAAACTTTCTTTTAAAAATAACATTTATCCAGAAGAGGTGTAGCCCGTTTAGAGGAGATAGATTATTATTAGTCCTGTGATAGGAAAGTACCTCTTGTCACTGTTTTCAGCTTTCCCCCAGCAGAGTATTTACCCGTCCTCAGGGTTGGACTCCCTTCTTTTCTTTGTCTCTTACTCTTGTCTTTCCTCCTCCTTGTTGATCCAACAAGTATTTTTCCCCACAAATATTTATGTGCTCAACATTGTTATGGGAATAGTTGACAGCTAACATTTCTACCCAGATGGAACTTTGTAACTTTGTTCATTCTTTTTTGTTGTTAATGTTGACTTATTCCTTTGTTTTTATTGTGACTTGAGAGAAAATATGTAAAGCAAATTGGCTTCCACTTAACCATTTGTATAATTCATATACATTTTGTTTTCAGACATTATAATATTCCCTATTTTCTTTCTGTAATTCTCATTTTCATTAACCCTTCTAGTCTATTCCTTCCTGCCTTTGAGACTTTTCTCCTTTGGCAAATGCTACCCTTTTGGCCTTATAAGGTTGGCCATTCTAAGGTCATTCCTTGTGTTATTGATAACTTCATGAGTTTTTGATCCCCAAACCCAAGCACATTGCTGTTGAGCTGCTTCTCACTCATAGTCACTCTGCCTAGAGAGTTTCCAAGACTGTAAATAAATCTTTACAGAAACAGGCTGCCATAGATTGGTAGATCTGAACATCTGATCTTTCAGTTAGGCAAGTGCTTAAGCACTGGGACACCAAGGCTCCTTATACTTGAACCAGCTATGTGTAATGCTGAGAGAAACACCAACTGGTCACTTGCTATTCCAACCTCAATGTACCCATCCCAACCTCATAGAGTGTACGTGTTATGTGCCTCCCAGTGTAGTAAGTTTATTTTATCAAAAAAATAAGCTATCTTTTTTCAAGGAGATCATAGCACAATTTAAAAAATCTAATTGTTGTTTATTAGCATAAATCCCCTGACTGGACAGCAGTCTTCATGTACTCACACCAGTTATTGTTGTTGTTGTTAAGTGCTGTCAGTTCGTAGATGACTCATAGCGACCCTATGAACAAAAGACCCGAACACTTGTATAACTTTCATCTTTTCTCTACATTCATAGTTTCTGGAGGCAAGCTATTTTGGAAGTGGATGCCACTCCTGCTTACAGGCTTGTTTTAATTGGGAAGCTATACCAAACACTCTCCACCATGGATAACCATTATCACTCTTGACCTATCAGTGTCTCAGTGTTTAGCATCACAGCATCCATGAGTTACCTCTGTACAGCAAATGGACAGATCAGTGCTATACTACTTAGAAGAATGTTTAACCAAAACAATTAAAACCAAACCTGAAGGCTATAGATGAAAATGGGTTTATACACATCATCTCACACCCATTAGTGAATCAACATTCTGCCCTAATCCTCACCAGCAAACAAGCCTTTGTAGAATCCGGCTTCTGCAGATGACTTCCAAACTGGATTCCTCTCACACCAGTATACCATCATTATTGCAAACACTGGGGTTTCCCTTGTGCTTCCACCTTACCTCAAATATCCTTTTTGTCCTCCTTATCTGAAGCTAGATGCTTAGGCTGTCCTTCTGATCATTATTCTTAAATGAACTTTCATCATAAAGGAAGAAACTTCCTAGCTCAAGGGAATAGGGATTAAATCAGTTGAGGGCTGAAACAATCCCTGGATTATTGATAAAGAGAGAGAACTGTTTAAAATGGATAGACGATTAGGTATTATTGTCATGACAGGACTCCCTCCAGACAAAGGCTATAGAGTGGAGTGGACTTGGGGGGAGGGATTGTGAAACAATAAATTTTACTTTCCAAAGAGAAGAGTGAACTGGGGGGAGGGTGGGCAGGGTGAAAAGTGCAACAATGAATGAATGGAAATCCAAAGTCTCTGTAAATTTTCATTAAAATTAATAATAAAAAGAAAAAAATTCCTTTTTCTGATTAAAAAAAAAAGAGAGCAAGAGAGGGGATTTTAGTTTTCCAGTGATGGGAACCTAAATATCTTTAGACAGTGTAGCTTGTGAACGTCTCTACTCCCCATCTCCATTTGTTGTTGTTGTTGTTATGTGCCGTTGAGTCATTTGCGACTCATAACGACCTTATGTACAACAGCCCTAAACCCTGCTCTATCCTGTGCCAATCGCATTGCCTCTGACACAACCATTCCGATTACCCCAGTCACTGCATCAATTCACCTCATAGAGGGTCTTCCCCTCCTGCACTGTCCCTCTACTCTACCCAGCATGATGTCCCTCTCCAATTTAGCTAAAGAAATATTGGATTTTGGTTGTGTGTACAGTTGCACAAATTTGCAAAATCTGTTTGTAATTTTTTCTTTAATTGTCCCATAGAACCAATACAGTCTTACATCTTGCCTGGTATTGAGAAACTCTTTGCATGCTTTCCTTTTCATGGTCTGCTGCTCATATTACATGACATTTGTTCACAGATTAGATGAAAACAGGCAGTAATTGGACTAGAGTCACTACAATTACATAGCTACTGTAATTACTAGGGTGTGAAGAGAGGACAGAACAGAGAACTGGCCATAAAATGAAAGAAAAGAGACTATGAGATGTTGGAAATGGAAAACAGGCAAGGGCTGGCTATAGGCTGGATGAGGATATGATAAAAGGCATAGAGTTACCAAGTCTCCAGGGCTCTGGCCTGAGGAATCAGGAACCAGTGGTGCCCTCAACATGAAGTAAGAATCTTGGGAAGAGAAGTGATTTTAGATGGGAAGTTAGTGATTTCAACATAGACTGCTTTGAGTGTAGCTTTCTGACTTTAATTTCCATCAAAGCGATTATTCTGTTTTGTTTTCTTTTGTTTTGCAGGGAGCACTTGTTGGGCTGATGGCTGGATTTGCCATTTCTCTGTGGGTTGGGATTGGTGCTCAGCTCTATCCTCCCCTTCCTGAGAGAACATTGCCACTAAGCCTTGAAACTTATGGCTGCAACAGCTCATACAATGGGACGAATTCATTTGCAACCACAGAAATGCCATTTTCTACTAGTGCTTTTCAAATACATGACGTTGAAAGGTATTGAATTCAGTATGATAATGTCATTTTGAAGAAATTATGTGCCAGGTGGAGAATTCCAAATGCTTTAAAAATCTGACCGCAAAATATTTATAGCAAAATTTGTCATTTTCACTGTCTTTATGTGTATAGTTCTGACACTGATAATGTTGGGCAATCATCCCCACTATTTTTCCCCAAAACTTTGTCATTTCCCCAAGTAGAAGCTCTGTACCCAACATGCAATAAATGTCCTTACACCAGTGAAAGCAAGGACCGTGTGCTAAGTAGAAGATTCATGAATTCGGTCTGTATTTTTGAGCGGATACCGTAGTTATTGACAAGATGAGTGTGAGATATTTGGATGGGAACATCATTTTAATGATTGCCGTGAGTGCTGTTTTCTGTAGTTACATCTCTGGTGTCATTGCCTTTAAAGTAAAATCCAAACTCATGCCAGTTCCAACAAAACCCATTCCTGCCTCCCTCTTCTCTTGGGTCCCTCTGAATCCTGCTCATGGTGGTTTGGTCAGCTGGAATTTATGCTCTTTGAGATTTTTTTTCTCAAGCACTTGCCCCACTTTGGCTTGTTTTTCAGATCCCAGTTCAAATGTCACTTAATCAAAGAGACTTTCTCTAACCCCTCATTATAAAGTGATCTGTCTCTCTAGACTCGTTAATTCCACACTATCGCGTTTCATTTACCATCCAGCACTTTCCACGAGCAGAAATTAGGATATTTATTTAGTCACTTACTGTATTTCTTTCCTCAGTATAATATAAGCTTTATGATTGCAAGAACATCTTCTGTCTCATTATATGTGACTGCCTTTCCAGTGGCAAGGACAGTATCTGACATATAGTGCTGAGATGAATGGGTAAGCATGGCCACCTGGTACATAGTTGATGGCCAAGGTTAAATCATACTTTTTAGTCCTGATCCAGTAAGATAAAATTAGGGTATAAGACTATGGCATTTTAAACATTAAATATTATATTTTTGACATGAGACCTATTTATATACATATTCATACTTACTAATAGCATTTGATGAAATCTTACCATTACACTTTTTTCCTCTCTTTTTAGGACTCCATTAATGGACAACTGGTATTCTTTATCATACCTATACTTCAGCACAATTGGAACTTTGGTAACAGTATTCGTGGGGATGATTATTAGTTTACCAACAGGTAACTATCTACACCTTGGTATTGTTGTATTTACCTTTTCATGTAAGTTGGCACTGTTTATGTTTCATAGCTATTCATGTCATTTACTGTGGTTGTGCTAATAACTGGTTTAATTATGTCTTCCATTTTATTCTTGGGAAATTTGAGTGCCTGGACTTGAAAGCAGAAACATCTGGCTCTACTTAAATCTTCCTTCTGCTATGAATGTGGGCAACCAGATAACTAAACTCTAGTTTTCTCATCTATAAAATGAGGATAACTATAATTAGCATGTCTCCCTCACATGGTTGTTATAGGATAAAAAAAATAAGATGCTTGATAAAACTATACCAGGTAAATGCAATACTTTTATTACATTTTAGTCATACCTTTGCAACTACTCTTTGTCATGATCTTCCTGTTTTCTTGTGCTGATTTTTCTACTATTTGCCTGTCATTTCTTCATCCTGTGGTGGCTTGTGAGCTCTTGTGATGAGACGCTGGAATCTGTGGTGTCACTGGTATTTCAAATAACAGCAGGGCCACCTATGGTGGACAGACTTCAGTAGTGATTCTAAACTTAGACTAGGGAGCAGGACTGGCCATCCACTTCTGAATGAATGGGCCTTTGGAAGCTTTATGAATGTAACATGGCATTATCTGGTATGGTGAGAAAAGACAAAGCCCTCAGGTTGGAAGGCACTCAAAATATGACTGGAGTGAAGTTGCTTCCTTATGTCTCTTTAATTTAATGATGTGGGAGAGTAAAACTTTCAGTCAATGAAGAACTTTGCTTATGGGGCATGACTCAAAATGAAGAGAAACAGCAGCAAACATACATTAATAATTGGCATATGGATGTATGAAGTGTGACTCTAGGAGGCTGTGAAAAAAATGAAAAGATTGATATCCTAGGAATCGGTGAGATGAAATGGAATTGATACTGGCCATTTTTAGCCAGATAACCATATAATCCACTGTGATGGGAATGACAAATTGAAGAATGACATTAATTCATTGTCAGAAAAGGACATTTCAGAGTCTATCCTGGAATACAATTCTGTCAGAAATTAGATAATATTCATATACATAGAAGGAGGACGACTGATTTTTTAATTTAGGCACCAACTACCGAAGTCAAAGATGAAGCAAATGAGCATTTCTACCAATTCTGTTGGCCTAGTGGCAAGAAGCTGCGCTGCAATCCCAAAGGTATGTGGTTTGAATCCACCAGTTGCTCTACAGGAGAAGGATGGGCAATCTCCTCCCATGTGATTAACTGCCTCTGAAAACCTGGCAGAGGGACAACTATGGGTCGGTTCCGATACTATGGTACAAAACAACAAGAAGAACAGCCAACTTCAACAGACTAGAATTGATTGAACATGCACTCAGGATGCATAGATAATGACTGGTGATTGGAATGCAAAAAAATTGGAAGCAAAGAAGAATAGTGGTTGGAAAATATGACCTTGGTGATTAGGAATGAATTTTGATAGGATGTTGAGTGATCAACAAGTTATTCTCTTTGCAAATACCTTTAAAAATGATGATTATGCACATGGAATTCACCAGATGAAAAACACAGCTACTAAATCAACTATGTCTGTGGGGAGAGATGATGGAGAAGTGAAAAAACATCAATGAGAAAAGGCCATGAACTAACGTGCTCATATGTACGCTCATTTGAAGGTGGAGGAAATGAAAATAAGTAGACAAGAGTCCAATATAACTTTGAGTTCTAGGGGCCCAGTGGATAGGGAGTTGCACTGCCAACCCAAAGGCAGGTGGTTCAAAGCTACCAATAGTTTTTAAGGAGAAAGATGGGCAGTCTTCTCTTATCTGACTTACAGCCTCTGAAAACCCACCAGAGGGTCAGCTATGAGTCAGTTCCAACTCGATGACAATGAATTTGATTGACTATGACCTTGAGCCATATCCTACCTGAATTTAAAGACTCTTTTTTTATCAAAAAATTATTGTTTTCACACTATTCTTTATTCACATTGTTTCATACAATTATTCTCATGCATTATGTTTTATAAAATTAATCACCATTAGACCTTGTCCATCATTACCCTGTCTTTTCATCCAGATCCTTCCCATTTCCTTCCCCCTCTTCCTCTACCTACCAAATGGCTCAACTCTGTAGTTTCTCCCTTTCCCATCCTCACCCCTCTGCTCCCACCACTTTACCTCATCAGTCCCTTACATGTTTTCCTTCTATTTTTACAATAATGGTCTTAATGCAGTATTTGTCCTTATGAGACTGAATTTGTTCACTCAGCATAACACTCTCCATTATCTCTCAAGTTATGTAGTTTTTTTAAAAATCATTGCTCTTGAGTGCTCCATAGTATATTACATTATGTGAATGTACCGAGTTTTGCAGTCCATTCAGTTGTGGTTGGATATTAGGGCTCTTTCTGCATTCTTGTGATTTGATGCATTCAACACTAATGAACAAAGTCCAGACAGGTTGTGTGAGGACATCAAACATGAAAAAAACAAGAGGCCATTAAAAAGATAGAAAGAGAAGACAAAAATATGGTCAGAAGATCCACCGGAACTTGCTCTAGAGCACATAGAAAAGAACGTGAGTGAAGGAAATTATAGTGTAAGACAGTGGAACTGATAATTTTGAAGTGCAGCTCTAGAAGATAAAGCAAAGTATTATAGTGGAATGTGAAAAGATTTGGAGTTATTAAACCCAAAGGGAAGAACATAATTGGCAGTTCTCAAGTGGAAAGAACAGCATAAAAAATTCCAGCCTTGAATTGTAATCCTGATGATAAATATTGAGTGACACAGAAAGAATAAAAATAATATCAAAGGGATACACAGTCACTTGTACCAAAAAGAACTGGTCTATGATCAACCATTTCAGGTCCAAGAACCGAATGTATTGAAGGAGGAAATTCAAGCTTCACTGGCAAAAAACAAGTCTCCAGGAATTTATGTAATATCAATTGAAAGGTTTCAATAAGTGTATGCAAAGCTGGAGTTGTTCACTTACATATGCAGAGAAATTTAGAGAAATAATATCTATCTACCTGGTGGACTGACTGGAATAGATTTACATTTCTTCCCAATCCAAAGAAAAATGATCCAACAGAATGTGGAAATTATCTAACAATATAATTAATGCCACACACGTGTAAAACTTAGTGAAAATCATTCAGAAAGTGGCAGGAGCAGCACATTAAATAGAAACTTCCAGAAAGTGAAGCTGGATCCAGAAAAGGACATAAAACAAGAGACATCATTGCTGCCAGATGAATCTTGATGGAAAGCAGAGAGTACCTGAAAGATGGTAATCTGTGTTTTTTTGACTCAGCAGAGCCGTTTAACTCTGCAGGTCATAGCAAGTTATAGATAACATAACAAAGATTGGTAGTAATTCCACGAACTTCATTGTGCTCCTGAGGAACGTGTACATAGACCAACGAATTGTTTTTCAAACAGAACAAAGGGAAACTATATAGTATAGAGTCAGGAGGTGAGTGTCAGAGCTGTACATTATTTTTATTAACTTTTATTAATCTTAATGAACATTTACAGAGATTTTGGGTTTCCATTCATTCATTGTTGCACTATTTTCTCTACCCTCCCCCCTCCAGTTCGTTCCTCTTTTTTCCCCCCTTGTAAGTCTGTTTTAATTGTCCCATTGCCACAGTGCTTGTCAAAGCCAGTTCTGATTAATCTCCTTTGTCAGTGTGTCCTTTGCCATTCCCTATCACTCCTCCCTGAGAGAGACTTCACCCTGATTAATAAGGAAAAGGGGATGGCGTATTCTCTTAGCTACTTCCTGCTGAAAAGGGACACTGTGGGTTTCAGGGTGAAGATCTTCTCTCACTACTCTAAAGGGCCCCTTTGGCAATAGGAAACACGTAGACTATTGTAGAGATTGATTTTGGAATTTAGATGCACTGTTATCAATTGTGCTTAGCTGTAAATGTTCATATCCTTGAAGATGTATCATGGAACTGTTGCAAGGGCTGTACATTTTAACTATAATATGACTAGGGAGGATAGAAGGAGAATTGATGCCTTTGAGCTGTGGTGCTGGAGAAGACTATTGAATGTACCATGGACTGCCAAGAAAACAAATAGATTCATTCTGCAGAGGGTTACAATAGGTTACTCCTTGGAGCCAAGGATTCTGGGACTTCGTCTGACATACTTTGGACATGTTGTAAGGAAAGACAGGTCCTTGGAGAGGGACATCATGCTTGGGAGGGTGGAGGGACAGCACAGGAGGGGAAGACCCTCTATGAGGTGGATTGATTCAGTGACTGGGATAACTGGGATGGTGGTGTCAGAGGCAATGCGATTGGCACAGGATAGAGCAGGGTTTAGGGCTGTTGTACATTTGGTCACTATGAGTCGCAAATGACTCGATGGCACATAACAACAACAACAGTCTGTAAGCTGAGCAAATAACTAATGTGAAGAATATTGTGGCATCCGCTTTGGAGGATGACTCACTAACAACCTGCAGATGACACAAACTTGCCTAAAAAGAACAAAGAAGGCTTGAAACACTTATTGATGAGGCTTAAAGACTGTAATGTGGATTACACTTCAACACTAAGAGATTCTTACAAGTGGGACTAGTAAACAGCATCGTGATGCATGAGGAAAAGTTTGAAGTTGTCCAGGATTTAAGTTTTATTTGGATCCACAATCAATAACCATGAAACCAGCAATCAAGAAATCAAGCAATGAATTGTAGGCAAATCTCCTGCCAAGCAACTCTTCAAAATGCTAACGAGGAAGAAAACTCTTTTGAGACTGAGATACAGGTGACCAAGTCTTAGTATTTTCATTTGCTTTGCATGCATATTGGCAAAGAATAAGGAAGACAAGAATTGCTTTACATTGTAGTGTTAATGAAATACATTAAACATATAATGACCTGCCAAAATAATAAATAAACTGTCTTGAAAGAGGTGCAGAAAATATAGTTCTTTAAATCTGAAGACCCCTCTATTTCAGTTCTAGGGAATTTTCTTATTCTG